GCCATTTATGAATTTATTTATTTCATAAATGGCGTGGCAATGTTAGCTCTTTATTTTACAAATCGACAATATAAATGATGCCAATTTAAAGATGAACATGCACCATTATGTTCTTTCCAATTACTATAAATTCGATATCTTTGGTGTTTATTAGCACAATTATGTAAAATTTGTTTTGCGAAGTGACAGCGAAACATTTTCTATTTAATCTACATCGTTGTTTATCCTACATCCAGAGCTCGCGTTCTCAAGATACGTTTCCTGTTATAATGCATACGACAAGCAATGTGCATTTAGCGGCTTTTAACAGATTTAACTAGCAGCGTGTGAAATAATAACTCTAGATAAAGGATTAATAAACAGGATTTATGAAAATTTAATGCGAAAAATATGCATTTTTCTAAATATTTCATTTATTTCGAACAAAGATATTGTTTTTGTAAATAGAGTGGCATTCAGCTGTGTTATAAATCGACATTAGAATATAACGCCACAAAATGCCTAGAAATACATCGTTATGTTCTTCCCAGTTACATCTAAATTTACATATCTGTGATGTTTATTAGCACAATTATATCGTAAAATTTGACACTGTTCCACAAAGTGCCAGCGAAACATCTTCTATTTAATCCGCACTATTATTCATCCAGAGTTCATGTTGATGCTTTCAAGATACATTTTCTCTAGTACGTAAGTTAAGCAGCGTGCATTTCGCGACTTTTAATAGATTTAACTAGCAGCATGTGAAACAGCAGCTCTGGATGAAGAATTAAGATAAAAGACATTAAGTCTAAAGACGAAACTTTAAAACAGAAAATATGCATTTCTCTATGTATGAATATTTCATTTATTTAAAACAAACGATGTTATTTTCGTAAATAATGTAGCACTTAGCAGACTCTTTATGTTACAAGTCGACAATAAAATATGACGCCACAAATAGTCTAAGATTCAGATCTAGAGATTCACCATTGTGTTTTTCCTAGTTGCACCTATAAATTCATATCTTTGATGTTTATTAACACAACTACATCTGTAAGATTCGACACTGTTCCGCGAAGTGACAGCGAAACATCTTATATTTAATCCGTGCTGTTGTTTATTCTTCATCCAGAGTTCATGCTGACGCTCTCAAGATACGTTTTCTTCGATAAATACGTTTCCGTCCCGGATTTCTCGAAACGTTGCACCGCTATCGAGCGGATATTCTGTTGGCAGCCGTCGCGTGTTTTGAACTCCGCACAGTCTCGTCAGTGTTATCTGCTTTCCTTCTGCAAGAAGGCACGTAGCTTTCCGGTCGGACGGCTTTATCTGCCGCATGTATCCCCTCGTAATATCATTATTAACTGCGATTCACCATGCGATCGTCCACATGAACTACCGTGGTGGGGATAGGGAAGTCCGGAAGATAGGGAAACGTCAGATCCGCTCTACGCTCGCTGTATTTCGCAACGCTAAACTCCATCAGTTAGCTAGCGGCGTCAGATTATTAGCGTCCTTGCGTCTATTTTGTCGTGACGAATAACCCTCTATCGCGCGCATCTGTCGCGCGATGTACCGGAAAGATGTCTACACGCGTGTCACGCGCATCCGCACTCCGTGTAAATTACGCGCAAAATACTATAAATTATTTGAATTCGCATAGCCCGTATAATACTCACCGAGAGCGATAAATCATATGAGTTTAGGTCCGCGAATTCCTACCGGCATTGAGAATTTATTGACGATCATCACGATCTAGCAATTAATTGTAAGAAGAATAATCCTTTAAAAATCCAATTCGAATTTTAAGAAGATGCTGAAATTATCGACAAAACGCGCATTTCGTATTTTTTTTATTTATTTTTTGTTTTCCTTATACAAAATTAAAAAATCCTTCTCTAAAATAAAAGAAAAACGCAAATAGTTGGAAATCTATAAAAAAATACAATTTTTTTTATAGATTTTTTTATAGATTAAATCACGTAGATTATTTCTTTACATATGTAAATAAATTCAAATATATATTCAAACAAAAAGTAGCATTTGAACAATTTATAACAATATAATGAAATCTTCAAATTATGATTTTGAAGCTTATAAAAGAAGTGAATAGAAAAGTACAATCTAAGTGTACATAACTTAGCATTCATGTAATATACATATAGAATATAGCCAGAGCAAAAATATACGTAACGTTTTATCTTATATTTTATTTAATGTATGTAATGATTTTTTTTATGCACATAATGTTTTATTTAGAATCTTTTTTATGGATATCAAGTTTGGTCGTCGCTCTAGCATCTCTTTAAGTGAGTAAGCACTCCAAGTTTTCTTTAAAATCTTGTTCTATAGAATAGGAAAATGAAAAGCCCAGATACTCAGAAATCTTAAAATTCATTATTTTTACATTCCTCTATCTCATAAGAATATAACTAATATAAATTTATCCATAATATAATATTATAATATATTTATACAACTAAAAAATTAAAAAAAGATTTAGATATTCTAAGCATCTCGTCCCTCAATTTGCATATCTTAAAGTCTACTTAATCTTTACAGGACAGAAAAGCCATTATGGCTGAAGCGGTCATATTTTGAAGCAAAAATTAAAAATGCAATGAAATAATAAATTATAACAATTAATCTTACTCAAGAAAAAAAGAGATATCAGTAATATAAGATATTAGAAATGGATCTTCCAAAGGTTAAAGGTAATATGATCAATTTAATACTGAATATGACTTATTTTCAAATTAAAAACATTAAATAACAGTACTTTATTCAAAATAATTAACTATTACCTTCCAGTATTAAATTTCTGCGAGGGAATGTAAAACTCTGTAAGAATATCTGTGAGAATATCTTCAAAATATGATCACAGTTGGAATAACAGCGAGAGTCAAAATATAAATGCATCTCTCTACTCGTAACGTTAAGTGGAAGGGTGAAAACATATGTGAAAAGCGTTTATATACTATCGGCAACGGCCAAAGGCCATTCGAGAAATGCTACACACGAGAGACGATGGGCTCCGTTTTCCCTTGTCGGAAGAGAATTCGTTTGAGTTGCACGAGACTTCCGTGACCATTCATCTCGTGTCTCTCCCATTATCTTTCCAGCTTCCGCATCTCCGTCTTTCTTTTGTCCGTCGTTGTCCCAAATGTACATCATATCGTCATGTGATTAGTATAATAATATTAACGTCGAAAGAGGACCAACAGTAGCGAGAATCGGGGATGCCAATAGCGTTACACTAGAACTTAGGACCAGAACTGAAATTCAATATTTACGCCAGTGCGCGGTAACTCACTGCTAATTAGACCACCGAGTAATTGGTAACGCTAGCTCTCTCAAAGCCTCTATGAGAGAGCGCAGTGAAATTCGGGTCGAATGCTGTACTCTCTTGCAACTAGCTGCACTGCGTACTGCGTATCTCTTCCCCGATATTGATGTTCGATTACTCAACAACACACATCGAATGCTCGACTGATTCGAGGAGTTTAACATTCGCCGCGAACATTTAACTCGATGCTGAGCATTTACACGTAAATAAGCACGTTCGAATTAGATCACTTCGTCTGGTGCAAGCAAAGTTTCAAAACCGACGTGATTTTGAAAACGCGACAAATTGAAAATTTCCTAAATATTCAAATTAATACTTATCTTAACTTTAGCCTCGCAGTACTTTTTTTCTTCGATCAATTTTCTAACATGCTAAACTTTTGTGTATGTATTTTCTGTTATATACATATATTATAAATAAATGGTAATGCAAGGCTCCATGTGACAACGTCATATAATCAGTGAATCCTAAGTTCAATCCTGACTGTCACTCTATGCATATTTTGTAAGAAATTGATCGAAGAATCACGATTAAAAAAATACAGATCTTAAGGCTGTGTTAAGTCCAAGAATGTGAAGAAAGATACAAATCTACCATACCATCTATATCATAGCGAAAATAGACATGTCTATTCCGGATCTATATTAGGCCTAAGAATCTGAAGATCCTGGAGCTACATTAAGCCTGGAATCCGAAAAAGGGAGAGAGGAGCAGTCGCATAAAACTCGTTAGACTATGGAGTGATAATCTGACACAGGAATCACAGAAGAACTTTTGAAATCTAGATGATGTTTAATGATTGATATATAGTCCTACTTGCTTCCACTATTATTACTGTTATTACCATGATAAATAAATATAAAAGAGGCTATACTTATGTCATGTATAGCAATCAAATTCTCTCTTAATTAAATTAATCTCAAAGACGTCAAGATTTTTTTACTTCTTTGATCAAAATACGATGTTTTTAATGACGCAAAATAATTAAGTAAATGATGTAAATAAAAGTATCGATAATTTACGAAGTAACGTAATCAGAAAAATAACGTAATTACTCTTATCAGTAAAAAGTCTCAAATAAATCTTTCTTTCATGGTAAAATAACTGTTTCGCGTGGAAATAAAATCCAAACCCTTTAATGTAAAGAGTTAATGAAACATTTATCGCACCGATAATCCTAAAGCATTGTGAGTAATTGAGCGTGACTGTATTACACTGTATATGGAGTCACGCGATATATCAAAACACGCGAAAAAATACACGACGTACTATTAATAATGCTTCATTTAAGATCCACATGATATTTTATTGTAGCTCTTAGAAGTGTATTTATGAATTGAATAAAATTTCCAATTAAAAAATGTGCATCAAAATTATTATTAGCTTTCTTTATTCTTTCCATCCTTTTCTTTCGCTTATTTTCTCTTCCGAAAGATATTTTCAATCAATCGATTTTGTGTTCGGCGAAAATGAGATAGAATGTAAAGAGAAGTTAGTTTTTTTAATTTGAAAAGTTTTGTTTAATTTAAAACATTTGTTAAATTGTATTTCATGTATAGAAATCAATATTAGGTTTCTAAACACAATCACTGGCCATTTCTACATATAATTTATAATTTACTACAATAATTTCTACAATAATTTAACAATATGATATATTTCTTTTTTTCAGTTTTGGTCAGCCTACGTTCCTTGCGGTGCCGCTCAGTTAAATGCAGTTCAACTCTCATTGGAACAGATTGACGTAATTCGTCGACTCGCCGAAATGAATGCTCAACACTTAACCCTGGTTACCTCCGTCAAAGGTAAGTACACATGGCGTATATTCTCAACAAAAAAAACAAAATTTAATAACAATATTTAATACTGTTAAATTAACATTTAATAACTATATTTAATAATAATATATTTCATACTGTTATTAAATAAATAAGATTATTTTTTAGTTAGATTGCTGTTTATTAGCTAATATTGTTGATACATTATTCTTTTCACGTACAATTTTTTATCATATTATATGAATAATATGCGTAACAATAATTTTTCTTCATAGATATCAACTATTTTCTTCCTTTTTCTAACTTTAATACAAGAAATTGCAATTTCAATTTTAGACGCTCTAATATTTGCGCTATTTAGTTTTTATTATCAAGATTTAAAGATGTGAAATTATCTCCTTTTTACATCTTTGTAAGTATTTGATAACTATGATTATATATAATTAACCAATTAATAAATGAAAATGAATTACGAACAAATATTATCTAATAATATACGAACAAAATGTGTCAAGTAAACGCAAATGAAAAGTGAAGATCGTTGAGTTGAGTATAAGAAATGTCAACAATAACGCGTACAATGAATATGAATCTCTAAAGTATTATCGAATGAAAGAATCTCCGTTGTGACATCAGGAGCAATTCAGTTTATTTGAACCGAACCTTTTGTAACTGAAAGAATTCTTGTGACCACCATATTATGTTATTAAATGTAACACGCTAACCGGTAGTACCAATAGATATGAAAGCGACGGTCTCAGAGAAACTTTCTCATCGGGACGATTCGAGAGGATAAAGGACCGCTATTAATTGCTCGACTTCTCCGAAGTTGAAGAAGAAAGTCGTTATTGGATTCGATTCGATGGCGTAACTTATTGTAGAAGATTTATCAGCAGTAGACAAAAGTATTATGCTATCACCCATGCCATAATCCACGAAAGGTCCTTGCTAATTCACGAAATATCAGAGACAATATTTGACTTAATAAGATAATTAAGTCAATATAAATAATTAGAAGGACTACTCTTAAATTGGAAGTTGCTTGTTTCTCTGTGTTAATGGTATCGCATTATGGCTTATATGGATTATAATATCATAACAAACTACATTTTTCTTTTTAACGTTTGACTCACAAAAGTTTGACTAAATAAAGAAGAAAAATGAGATTTCCTCTAATGTATCAATCACATTGATTGACTTCTATATTAAAAATTTCAATGGACCACATATTTTTTTAAGAGAGCGTGAACACAGGAGCATCCGATATGTATCAACATTTTTAAATCTACTAGTTAACTTATATAATAATGTATTTTTGATTTGAGAATCCGACAACTTATGTAACATTATAATTTTTAATTTGTTTTAACATTGAGACCCGATCGGCGTCGAAACATTTGTTTTTTTGAATTTTTTTATATTTAGTTCTGAATATTAAATGTTCTTAATTTATTTTTAACTGGCTCGTAGCCCTTCTAATTATTTATATTGATTTATTCTAAGCTATATTATTAATTTATATAAGAATATTAAGATTAAAAGAAATAATACCTGTTGGATCTATGACGAACCTTTACCACTTAATTCGTGTTTCGAACTGATCTGAGCTAATTCTCAAGCAGAACAACAAGTCATGATATCGTCAAAATAACGTTAAAATGAATTATGATTGATCGAAAAATGACGTTTAATAATCACTTTAGAGCCATTTTAATATCATGATGACTTGTATTCTATTTAAATACCAAGTAATTTGTCATCATTTTAATGTTATGGATATTTAATTGCTTAATGTAATTAATAATGCAATAATTAATTATCGTCACATTTGGACATTTGAAATATTTTATACAAAATAGAAGAAAATAGCGTAAAGTTTAAATATTATATAGTATTTTTAAAAACATTGTTACAAACCATTAGACATATCAAAAGTTTATCTCAACACAGTAAAAGTTAAAAAAAAGTTAAAAAGATTACGAATGTTGAATACAAATTTTTTTTGTTTAGCAAACGTCCATTAGTGCTGATGACTGGTTGAGCCACCACTATTTTTAACGAAAACTCATTTAAGTTAAAAATTGATGGGTCAATTTATCGTCTGTTAACGAGAATTTATAGAACGTTGCTGAAATCGACTAATGGAGAATAAATTTCATCGATATGCAATAGCTACTTTTACAATATACTTATAGAGAAAAAAGAGAAAATATGCCGAGATAACATTGACGCTAAAATAAAGAACAAACTGCCTGAAAGAAAAGAAAATACCAAGCAGGAGAGGATAGTGGGAAGGATATACGAAAGCTTGTAAAAGTTTTTGCAACAAGTAACTCACTTTGGAAATCCGACTGCTATTTTCATAAGCTCGTTGAAATCGAATCGAGGTTACGCGAGAAAGAGATAAGAACGTAATATTTTATGTAAACTTTTGCAAATATTGCTGCATAAATAACTAAAAAACAATTAAAAATTAATGAATGCTAATTAGCGAATAATTCGAGCGATACAAGTACATTGTATAATGAAAGGCGTATAATTTAATTTAGATGGTAGTTTAGATGATAGACTTTTTATCATAAAAAAATCTTATCTTCATATAATTTTAAACTTTTGTCAAAATATCTCACGTTAAAACTAAAAATAATCTTTACAGTTGACAAATTACAGTTGATCTTTCGATAACGAAAAATTTGATTCTTTCTCAACGAATACGCTTATGTAAACGGACAGTTGATTAGACACGTATGCGAATCAAGTTAGGCACGCCGTTGAAATATGAAAAGGTTTATGAAGAGCAAGTGAAGAAATGAGACTGGCACTGCTTCGCAACGAAAGTCTCGCAATGGAACTTACCGCGAGTAACTCGGTCCGGAAAGCTGTCAGCCATTTTCATAAGCTCGAGAAACTTCGCCAAGTGGGAAGTGGAAACGAGGTCGCGGCATAAAGAAGGTAAAAGGTGGAAAAGCCAGCAGCTCGTGCACGCAAACCTGTCCCACAACAGTGTCTGGAACAGACAAAAAAACTGTGATTTCGAAATATATCGCGTTGAATTTGACGAACCAAGAAAACACTATTAATTAACTCTAATCAGTATTCACTCCGAAATTTCTGTAATTGTAAGTATTCGCGAGTACAATGCATTTTAAATTAATGTACTGTTTAAAGTTGTGTAAATGATTTTTTTCATTTTGAGGATCAAAATTCGAAGAATAAGATAATATAATGTAAAATCGTGAGATTGTGAAAAACATTTAAACAATTTTTCATAATAGTTGAAAAAAATGTCTGGATCCAAATGTCCGAACTTGCGAAAACGATTAGAGTTAAAAAAAATAATTAGTAGAATATTTTATAGTGCACTCTGATTTCTTCTAGCTCATGTAGAGAAAAAATATGTATATATATATAACAGTGAAATAAGTATTATACGTATGAAGTTTGTACAATCAATAGAAAAATCATTGACAATAACATAAAGTAATTATTTATAATAATTGTTATAATATTTAACTTATTTAGTATAATTAATTATTTTGCAAATAATTTATTTTATGTAATTAGTTATTTACAATAATTAATTGTATAAAATAAATTGATTATTTACAGTAGTTATCTTAATTTAATTCCTAAATTTATTTCTTTTAACAGTAAATTATGTTTTAATTATCATATTTTCGTATAATATACAATTCGTGAAATCGTTCTTAAATATAATATTATATTCTTTGAATATCGAATTTTAGATGTTAATATATTGTATAATAATAAGCTTACTATAAAATATAGTATCAATTAATATAAAAACGGGGACATTATTAAAGTAAAGGACATATTCATTTCGTTTTATTTTTTGGGAAAAGGCAAGCTGCTTCCGAGCGAGCTTCGTTCAAAGCAGCAAAGGTAGGGAACAGTTACAAGAGAAGATTACAGCTTTTTAATTTTCGAGATCAGTGGCGCGTTTCTCTGAAGAGAATATGCGGCTTTCTTGTATCAAGATAAAAGGTATTAAATCCTATTAAATGCTATAAAACGCTTTAGCTTATCGTAGTATGGCATGATAAAAGGATGAACCAAGCGAGCGCGTAAAAACTTTAGGTTAATATCAATTTATTATTGCAGTTTTTCTTTGTAATTATTCAATGTTTTTTAATTATAATCTCATATCCTCGGATTTATTTTATATAAAAATTTATAGCCATCACAATCCACAAATTTAATTACATTTTAATTATATTGATCAGCACTAATAACAATCAATAACTTGCGCAAAAAATAAACAAAATAAATAATGTGGATATAGCAATAAAAAATGTGCGATGTGAGAACTTTTATTGATGAAAAAATGGAAAGCAACAGTATGATAAAAGTTTATGAAAAGTTTATCTGACGAATCCACATCATTAATTCTGAGGTTAGAGAGAATATCCCGTAAAGACTGTAAACTTCTAAGAGGAGATTCCTACAAAGATCATTTTGAGATGAAAATCCTAATATTAAAATATCGAAGCTATAATAATTTTTTAATGTAATAAATATTAATCATTAGAAATATTAATAATATTATCTTTGCATACGTAATCTTATATTGATATTAAAAAGATGTGACAATGAGTTTCCATTTTTTATAACATTTTGCGTTGTATCGCATCTGAATGTGCAAATTTTTGACAATATGATTCGCTAACTTTAAATACTTATAATTCAAAAACCATAATATCCTCGATATTTTAGTATTAGAATTTTAATATTAAAATGACCTTAAGAATCTACACTTAAGCGTTTTTTTGTCTTTACCGGATATCCTGATATAAAATAGATATAAAATTTTATATACGTATATTTTTAATATTGCAGCAAAGCGGATTTTAAATCCAGGATATGCAGTTAAATAAATAACTCGTGCGAATTGACATATTCGATATAAAGTACGATAAATCAGAAGGCTTTAATATCCCACCACGTCGTCTCGATCTAAAAGTCTGAAAGTTTCAATGAGACGATCGACAGCACTCCTGAAAGCGGATCTGAAAGCCGATTTTTACCGATCTTTTCATTCATTCCCGCAACCCGCCTAAAGCGCGACCGACTTTCTGAGATTCCGTCCGATCTGACCCGACGAAGGTCGTAAATAATCTATGAACACCATAATTCCACGATCCCGAGGCCCCGCTTAATCTCATAAAGTGTCACTTTAATCTCGCTCGGGAAAAAAAGAGAAAAATTATAAGACTCGCGCCGACGGGGCGGGCACGACGAAAAAACGGATGAAACTTCGCTGATTCACGGAAGAAGCTGTAATTCGACCGAGAGCAAAGTTCACCAAAGATGATTCGAAGTTCCGCGGTAAGATGAGCCTCAAATAACTCCGTGTACCTACTTGGTATTTCCCGAGGTTTAAATATTCTGAGTTTGGCAAGTTCATTGGATAGTACTACTACAGTTTTTTAGTTTCATGTTTACAACGTTAAATTGCTAAAACGTGATAAAACTTTCTATAATTTTAAGAAAATAAAGAGAACATGACACACCACACATCGAGAATTTTTTTATTAAATCATGATATATCACTGTATGTGCAGGTCTCATCGAGGCGCACAGAGAAGGCAAGATCGCAAGTCTAATCGGAGTAGAAGGTGGTCATTCCTTGGGGAATTCCTTGGGTGTTCTCAGGACGTTTTACGGTCTGGGAGCGCGATATCTTACTCTGACACATGCGTGTGACACCTCCTGGTGAGTGTAAATTATGAGAGCGCATAAGAATCTGTCTTGAATAATTAATTTAGAAGAATAATTAATTTATCGCGATTTAGAGTTCAATAAGAAGAATAACAGGCTCATAATCAAACCGATCATGCGGCAAAAAATTAACGAGTATTGTAATTGAATATAATAAAGGGCATTGTAATTGAATTTAATCACGAGTAGAAAAAAAAAGAAAAAAATAATAAAAGCTAATATATTCTGATAGTTTCTCATGTTATATATAAATTACAGTTAATAATAGATTACGGCACTTTATAAGGTTGACATTAATTAATTTAAAATAAAAGTAACAATCTTATATTACATTATTTATATTACATATTACATTATTTTGAGTCAATTTCATTTTAAATTATAGACAGAATTAACCACTCTGTCGATTTAATCGATTTAATTAATTAAACAGTGTTTTATAAGAGATCAATTATTCGCTAAAATATTGATTCACCATAAAATTCACTTTAATTTTCGATGTTATGTTCCTCGCACACGATTCGTTGGAATTAGAAGATTGCACTCTCTCATGCAAGATCAAGATTCTGAGGGATGTTTCATTGTTTCGCTATCGTTCTTGTCACGTCTCCTCTTACCCTTGTGCTCGAGAAGTTTCTTCATGTACAAGCCGCTCCTTCATCGAACATCCAGTTTTTTTACTCGAGTCTCGTTGTACTTCGTATCACGATCCACTCTTAGAGGCAAACCAATTCCACGGTTGATCGGCTTAACCGAGAATCGAAATAATCTGAAATCTGGACGCCCGGAAGTTCTTTTTGGTAATTTCGAAAATACCCTAAAGCCACTGCTTATTTTCCGGCGCGCCGAAAAAGAAATTTTACAGCAAAGGAGTTCTGTTTGTAAAGAGAAAGAGGGGTAGCACCTTTTATCAGAAAGAATACAGAAGTCAACTTTTACAATTTAGTCTCCTTAATCAATTACTGTAAAAGACGATTCTTTAAATTGTTCTAACTTCATTTTCCAATTTTGCTTTGTCTGACATTGTCCATTTTCAAGAGAAATTTACTGCATCATTTATTCATGCCAAAGATATACATTTGGTATATCTAGTATTTGATAAAAATTTAAAATACAATACGCTCCCATTATTTATGTTTCTTTACATATATTACGAACTTATTGCTTATTTTGTAACCTAACAATTTTGTAACCTAAATAATTCCACTTTTTTTACAATAATATATTACATAAAGGATTTAAAAAAATTCATTCAATATTACTAAAATTAAAAAATATAAAGTTGTAGAGTATATTATTAAAAATTTTCTCTTTATTTTTATTTTTACGTTTCTGCTTATTTTTATTTTTATTCTATACATATTAGTTTGTTATGATTAGTTTGTTATGATAAGCTCATTTTTTGAGAGACAAACAATGGAATAGAACAGAAATAGAAACATTTTTCTTGCTCTAACTCAAACATCGATCTTTAACCTAAAGTTTATGCATCCCTTGTGATGCTGCGTGTGGAATTGTAAATAAAGTCCCTGCTTTTATGCGTCCGTTCGATCCGGGTCACATGAACCGCGATAAGTTGCGTTTTCACGGAAAATCCAACATTGCATTATTTGCGAGCTGCAAGTTACGCGGGGTCATAAAACAGAACTACACGCGCACGAAACAGCGACATTCGGCTCCCGTGCGACAACCACAGTTGTTTAATTACCACGAGGCCGCGATCATTTACGGAGATCTTTCTCGTCGAAAGGAAATTTTATTCCCGACCAACGAAAAATTTTCGCTCGACTTTTCTAGCCTCTCAAACTTCGCGAAGCTTCCCCTTTTTTTTTCTTTTTTTAGCATAATAATATTCATATTCTGAAAACTAAAGTTTGGGACATTTCAGTTATTTTCTTTTTTCTCATGAAACTTGAGAACGATCATTAAATTGCGATGCTGAAATTGTCGAGATTGTCAACTGCGCACATCGACCGCGTGTACTCATATATTACTGCCCACTATATCTTTTATGAGTACGAGGAATCATGCTCGAACCGTAATAATCTCACTCTGTGTTACCTGCCACGCGAAATAGAATTTACGTCTCGAGCAGAGCGACGCTAGATGCCTTGGTAGCTTTCGAGATGTAAATTACGACGGTGACCGCCAATATTACTAACTCTAACGCCGCTTTAAGGTCGAAGTATTATACGACAATGGGCACCGACCTGGTTCACCGTGTTCTTTCCGATGTTCGCCTGCTTTATGTCTCCCTCGACGCCGCCCGTGACGCTTACCGCAGTAAATAAGAATCGGGAGTCACGTCGAGCCCTCCGACGTGCAAATCTTCTTTCAAATATAGTACATATTTTGGTCTTCTGACCCCCCTAAAATTACATCGATGTCATTTTACGATACACACAGAAAGTAATCTTTTCTCAGCATCAAGTCAGTTCCGTCAGAATTAAGGAAGAGAACGAGTATTTAATCCAAAAATAAATGTGAAACTCAATTTCAAAAAATAATAATTGTAATGACAGGAATTTGAAATTAAGATACTTTATACTTTTGCCATCACGTCGCGATTCTTAGTTAAATTATTCTAAGTTAAATTATTTTTAGATTTTATTAAATTTTTATAATTTGATTTTTTTAATGCTTTATTTTAAATTATTTATTTAATTAAATTCTATTTATCAAAATTAAATCCAAGTAATTTTTATAAGGAATGTTGCGCCCCCATTACATGTAACGCCATAAATATATCGTAATAAAAAGAACTAAGAACAACGTTTAATTTTTATAATAAAAGTTATAATAAATAATAGTAATATTACGAGAATTACAAAGGAACAGGTGATTTGGAACATTAAGAAAAGTATACGTCTATGAAAGAAGCCTACCATACAGAGAATATCTGAGGAAAACTCGTCGTAAAAATGTGGTTTCATCTCTGCGGCCTGAGATTTCCGGCATCCATGAAGAAAAGCGTGCTTTTATTGGGACAATATCCGAATTGCTTTTGGACGTGTACCCGAGGCTTAATGTCAACCTCCGACTCTATCCTCTCTCTTTTTCTCTTATCTCTCTTGGTCTATGTCGCATGTCTTGCCTCTTCTCCTTGGGGACGCGAGATTGTCGAACCCGATTGAATTTTCTACAGTTCTAGATGACGATGCCGAATCATCTCCTGGCGTTTCCACGTCTGGAAGCGAAAATTGACCGTGAAAAATTATCGGATTCTCGATAGCATTCGCGCCTTCGTATTACTTGTTTTTTGACCTTCTTACTTTTATTTCTTCAATATTTGATATGATTGCATTATTCAACAGACAGAAATAACGCAAAATATATTTAGTCGACACAAATCTTAATAGCTTCTCTGGCGAATTTAAAGATGCATACTTCTTTACAAAATAAATTTATGTAAATGTTTAGTTATGAAAGTTATTAAATGTTAAAAGTGTAAATATTGAACAAGATCTCGCAATTAATTAAAAATAATATTTATTTTAATAGATACTTAGTTATAATTACTGAGATATTTATCTATGGAAGATTATAAAACTGAATAATAATTTCTTATAAAATTCATTGAGGAAATATCGAATTTATATTCAGGAAAAATCTACTATAAATAATACTTAAAAATTATATAGCTTCGTAGTTATAACATATTTGCAATCTCGGAACACAGTTTTTATATAAATATTTCAAAACTTTTCTTTAGTTAACAATTAATTTATATGTCTAGCAGACAACAAGAATTAACCGTAATAAATGGATAAATGGAAACACGCGTTACTTCGAAAAGTTTCATGGAACTCAAATGAGCTTCGAATTGCTTTAACGATTCTAAAGGCTACGTATATGATAACGAAGTGTGCAACCAGAAAGCGCGCGTGGAGTTTATGTACATTTGACCTAAATTACTTGACCCAACGCTTCTCGAATGTGCCTCCTCAAATATAAATAGAAAGGAGTCTGTTTTCAGTATGTGTCAATCAAATCTAAATCAAAACTAAGAATATAAAAATCTAATACAAATTTTAAGGCCAATTTTTTAATGTCAGAATCATTTTCGATGAAAAAAAATTACACACGCATATACAAAATTAAATATGGAATTTTGTCATAAAAATTAAAAATATTAAAGCTGAAGATTGTCTTCTCGAGTTTCGAACAAACAACGTAAACTCCATTAAAGAAACTTATTATTAATATACTATATAATATCAAATAAATAAATAATATTTTTAGGTATAGTAAACCGAATAAATCAAGTGATTAATTTTTTTATTAATGATGTACACGTTTTTATGATTGACGATTTGCTGTCATTGAAAATTCATTTTATTTCACATAATAATAAATGGATCATGATAAAAATGTACGCGTAATAAATATATAAAAGATAACATGATATTTCAGAAAATATTATTCGTTCTCGTTTGAAACTCGTCCGAGGGGACAGAAAGCAAGTGCGAGCACCCAGTACGACCGCTGGATTTTCACAGCGAGACTCACAAACTAACGTTCTAACAGACATTTTCTTGGCAGGGCAGTCTGTTCTGTTGGCGAGACGAACAACACTCAGGACTCCACGCCGGGCCTCAGCGAATTTGGGAAAGTGAGTCAACATTTACATTGTACGCGCTCCACTGCGGATTTACCTTTTTCAGTAGTGAACAGGGAAATATCGCGTTTGCAAAAAAAAAATGCCGCGTGTACATACATGCTTCCAAAAGAGTTTCCGTTTTATGACCGTGGATGGAGTTGCTCGACATTCTGCAGAAAAATAATACTGTAGACTTCCGGCCAAGATGCGTCCCAGTATTATTCCGCGAAACGACTGTGCGACAGTTTAGATTATAATTTCGTTATGAACTCTATGAGTATACGTTATAACGCGAATATTGCATTAAACATTTTCGTTTTATTTTACGGAAATAAGAGCTTCTTCAATAAATAGTAATATCAATATGGAATCAGAGAGAGCATTCCATGTTGTGCATTCCAAATATTTGAATAATTTAATGCTGTTTTTATATTTGCATGTACATTATTATAAGTTCACTTTAAAAAAATATAGGTATAGATTTAAGACTATGAGATATTTAATAATATTTATATAATTCTTATCATGTATTGATATTAATATAAATATTAACATGGATTTAACATGATTTAAAACTCATAATGTTATGTTTGCTAATAGATTTAAACGCTATATAATTATAATTTTGTCCATTTTAATATCGTCCAAGTTTGGACGATATTACAAAAAATGAATAGGTGCTCTCTAAAATTTTTAGAGTGAATCTCACTCCGGAGAGTGAAATCTCACTCTTAAAGATTAAAAATTGAGCCACTACTTTTCAAGACTGGCTCAATTTTCACTCTTTATTGTGAAAGTCCACTCCAAACAGAGAGTATTAAATATAGAGAGTATTAAATATAATTCTTATATGCTGGTGTTGATATAATCATCAATATAATATGTGAGAATTTAATTCCATAAGTTTTAAATCATAGTGTTAAATCCATACCTATTGTTTTATCAACATAACATAAATTTAACACCGTGATATTAAATGCACACTCATATTTTTTGTAATATTGTTATTCAAATGGAAAAAGGTTAAGGTTTAAATCGCCTATTAATGAATATATGAAAGGCATAAATATATAAAATAATGCTTGTTAATTTCTATAATACTTCGCGCTTGTACGTTAAAATTTCCCAACGGCTTATCCTTCTGGAATATCTAAATAAACGAGACGTCACGATGGCACATTACATCAGGGACGTTCCCAATTTTCGTAGCGGGATTTAGATCATGGCTTCACGATCTCGATGGCTGGAATTATTTTTCCACGACATAACCGGGGAAATGATCGTCAACGAACGCGCGACTGATCGCGTCCGACCTACATTCCGTTTATCACTCCCGTCGCTCCGCCGCGTTCATAAAATTATATCCCGACCCACTTTCGCGTGTAGAATTCGTCGAGGGATTTCGAGCGTTAACGCATAAGTTCGCCGATCTCAACGAGGCGAATTTCTGCCATTCAGCATCGCGTGATTTTCGTCCAAAAAAATCGAAGGAAACGAATCGTCATCGGATAGTTTCGCATCAATTGAGTTTTTGTTAGAATTCATAATCCTATGGCAATGGCGATTTTGATTAAAAGAACAAACAAAGAAAGGAAACATTACTGGTGGTAGATTCGAGAAGAAATAAGGAAGAAATAAACGGACGAGAAAAATGCGTAAGGACGTAAATCATATGAATCACCTACCATTATCTCACATCCCTTGCAATGTCTAAATTTTATATTAATAAATGACACAGGTCTTCTAAAGAAAAATTCTATGCGCAATGTTAAATGTTCTCCATTTATCATTGATGCTTGTCTGCATAAAGTGCTAATTATAGATATTCCATCTATAAATCAACAATTAAAAGTCTGAAATAATTCGCCGTCGCCGTGACGTCTTTCCAAATAACATAGTCTAGAGTTTTAATCATTTTTGTTCATTATATATGATCTAGATTTTTATTATCTATATTTAGTTTATATATTTTACATAGAAAAAGAAATTTTACTAAATTATTTAAAATTTCGCCAGATACCGATTTGAAAATAATTCCGTTGTATCATTGAAATAATTAGGTACATAAACGCTCAAGTTAATTGCTAAAATATCAAATGTAATCGTAATTTTAATCATAAGTTGTAAGAAAAAAAATTGTAAGAAAAATTGACGCTAATTATTAGAAGCTATCCGGAATTTTAATGTGTGTGTAGTTTTAATTGTAATTTTTAATATTAGATGACCGCGAATGAAGGTCGAAACATTTAATTCTGTTATTCTAATAAGATTCGAATGCGATAAAGATTAATTTCGCAACAAAAACTAGCATTGGCTTTTATGCCCTCCCTTCCTGGGATATTGATTTATTCATAAAGCCTTTGTCATTTTATAAAATGTCAAACTTTTTACACCTTTACTCATTATGTTTGAAAGTTCAACAATCCTTTTGATGGTACAAAACTATTTTTAAATATACTATCTATTCTTTAAATCTGAATCAGTGGATAATTATTGATATCAGTGTCAAGTATGTCACTGATAAGTAGTAAATTAAATGTGAGATTTCTAACTAATCTTTATTGTGTTACCTAATTAGCCTTGTTTTAATACTTAAATTCAATGAATACGGTATTGGAAAATTAAAATTAATGTGCAAATATCAGTATTTTAGTTATATAATGCTCAAATATTCTTCTTTTTTTAGTTTTTTAGAACTTCACTGATTATCAGTAAAGTAATGCCACTTGGTAGTTAGTGACTATCCACTATTCCATTGATTCAGTTTTAGAAAGTAACTAAATTTTTAGTTATTTTATCATATATAATCAAAGAACTGCAACAGTAGACTAACCCATATTTTGTAAAAACAGAAAAAATAAAATCTAAAGTTAAAGAGAAACAGTTGACCAACTCACATTTTTATAAAATTGCAGTATAAGGCCTTCAATTTATTTTTTACTGCAGGAAATCGAAGAAAGAAAACTTAATTAATAAATATCGCCAATTCCGTTATAACGTTATTTTAGCATATATTCATTGTAATTGACTATCGAAAAACGGTAAATATGACGGAGCTATGGTTACAATAAATTATTCGGAAAAAAGAATTTCCTGTACGCGCGATATCAACTATGTTCTATTTTGTTTGCTACGCAAACGAAAAGTCGCGATTGTCGCAGCACATCGCTGGCTATATTGAAACACCAACAGTACAAAAGTGTTATTGCTGCTAGCGAGCGAACATTTCACCACGAAATTCCGATAATCTACAAGTCCTGGAAGTAATATCGCTTTCTTCTTGCTCCTCCCCTCTGTCTGAGATACTGAAATATTTTTATCAAAAACAATAATCTATCTCGTATGCGTTAGTTTGATTTTCTGTTCCAAGAAGAGAAATATCTCTCCGACTTTACGTTACTTACGAGACTCAGTAAACATCAACTAAAGATAACATAACATCAATGTTATAATATCACTCAACTAACTCCGATACGCGTAACGTACATTTATAACCGCTCGTTTTGAATATCCGATATTAAAACGTTTCAATCAAAATGAATTTAATATCGCTCTTTTCCTTATCTTCTCTATAATACCAAATTTTTTTTTATCAGCAATAATTCACCTCATGCATTAGTTTGATTTTCTGTTCAAAGAAGAAAAATCTCTCCTCCTTCACGTTTGATTTTCTGTTCAAACAAAAGAATTTCTCCACGTTATATCCTGTAAACAGCAACTAAAGTAACACAACATAAATGTTATGATTTCACACTCAATAATGTAACTGTTACGTATAACATATGTTATATTATACTTATAATGTTGTGCAAAATAAAATTATAACATTGATTATGTCACATTTAGTTGATGTTTACTGGAGAATCTCAACATATATAGACAAACTTTTACAGCCGCGCAGACGATTTGAAATGTTGGTAATTAAATAGAATCATAAATGAGTGACTCATTATCTCGAAATCTAAGTCTCTCGAAACCGCCTGTTTGTATATCCGGCAATCGAAACAAATTTCGCGTCGTTTCAAATGGAAACGTCGCAACGCCACGCCTCGTTCGGAAAGACAAATGGAATTATCTGAAAATTCCCCGCGCGTGCTCATGTCTCCTCGTATAGTTCAACCTTCCATAACGTCATGCCGCTGTAAATACCGGCATGCATTTCCGACGATGGACAGCGTCATCCATCCCACATCACGCCCCGGCAAAAAGAGTTTGAGATAAATTTCGCTACCGTGTGTGTAATGCGCGTGTGTGGACGAATGCGCAATTCGACGAATTTTGCGACATTTTTGCCCTGTACTCCCTTGTTCCTTTGGTCTGTTATTTCTATTGAACGACCTATATTTTCCATTCACCAGGTGCGCGAGTACGTACACAAACGCATCTTGAATCACCGTTAACGCGACGCAGTGATGTATCGTGAAATTAGCGATAGCTCGTGGCGTTGTATTTGTCACGGTTGCAACATGGCATGGGGCTTGATTTTATTGCGGCTTTTGGATGTGACGATTAGTTTCGCCTAGTCCCGCCACGCGCTCGATATTCAGCAACAGGCATCGGATTACACCACGAAAATTCGCTGTTTCGTCCACCGCGCCGCGGGATATAGACTACAAAACTGGTTTCCTCCCTTTTAATTTTCGCAAAGAATTAAAACGATCTCGAATGCGGTAATAATTACCGCAATGTTATTAATTTGAAAATTTTCACGATGAAATCTAAATTGATCAAAAAATTTCACGATTATTATCAAGCAGAAATTAAAATTTATATACGTCAGTTACATATTAAAAATCACTGAAATAATATCTTTTAATTTTTATTATAATAAAATTTTTGGATATAATTTTGGATAACTTGCAACATAATTCTTAACGGCTTTATTTTGAGTTCGCAAATCGTTTGTATATCATGCTTCTTTTCGTAAAATTATTTTTTGCACTAAAAACAACAAAAAAACATTTGCAATACTTGCATGCAATACTTGTATGCAATTTGTTAATAATTAAGTTTACGTGTTAACAACGTAAGTTTACGTATTAAAAATTTCTTATTAAAAATTTTATTTGATTGATTCAATCTTAAAGCCTAATTTTTTTATTTCAATTTTATTTAATTTGTATTAATATACTACATTGCATGCAATAAAACTTACACGGAAAAAAACGATTCCACTAAAATATCTAAAACATTAGCTATATATACAAGGTGTCCCAGAATAACCGCCAAATATTTCATGCGTAGATAGATCGGACTAATAAATCGAAAAATCTTCTATTATTTTATAATTTTCGCAATAGTTAACAAGATATTAATAACTAAAAATTGCCGAATATTCATTTTTAATAATCTTTTAGTCGAATACTATCAATTTTACAGAAAAACAACAAAAATTGTTTGTTTTCTTTTTATAGAGCTCTAAGAATTTTTTCAGAATTTTTATTTACTTTTTAGTATTGCATTTATAT